GTATTTTCAGATATTGGTTGAATGCGTGCATGCAGATGGTACAGTACTCAATGCCCCTGAGGTATGCACTTAACATGGCCCAACAACTGACAAAAACAAACTAAATCACTCAACAGCAGCCCGGTTCACAGAACAGGTGTGCTTTGAAGTCCAGAGACTCAGCCTTAGACGACAGCAAACCGTGACTTGGACAAGAACGGCAGTAATCAGAAATTGCTGAAGAGGGTGCAAGAGAGCTCTGGGACAGTGAGTTTCCTCCCCTTCCCTCCGTCCACGTCTTCCCAGGCAGGCTCTGTGAGCCCGGTGCCTGTGTGAGCCCACAACCTAGCCTGACTCAAAGCACAGCCAGCCAGTTTAGCTTAAGCTGTTGGGTATGGCAGAGCTCCCAGGGAACCCTGGGGAATCCCTGCAAAAGAGCAAATTTACTCCTAGCTTCTCCAGTGAGTGCGCCCCTCCTCTCTGAGGCTCAAAACACTATTCCCCAGTGAACACTGCAAATAGGTGCTAGTCTGCCCTCACTGGTGGCCTCTCGAGGGGTAAAGAAAGAGGCAGTTCAGAACTGAAGGAAAGGTCATGTTCTTGAGCAGGGGACGCGTTCAAATCCTGATTCTCCCATATGGTAGTGAATGGCCTTGTACACAGTATTTACTTTTTTTTTTCTATCTCTCTGTTTCCTTGTCTGCAAAATGGGGTTAATAACAGTTTCCAGCAGGAGGGAAGACAATCTCAAAATTGTTCTAATAGCTGCCCAATAGTAGTAGCCCCAGCTCATAATCACAATGCTCAGGAGATGAGATATGAGAGTTGCCAGGAGTTCGAGGCTAGCCTAGGCTACACAGCAAAATTCTGCACCACAAATCTAAAAGAAGGGGTGTAGGTGTAACTCAGTTGGTAGTTTCCTTAGCATGCATGAAGGGCTGGGTTCAGTCCCTATACAGCCTAACTGGACATGGTGGTGCATAGAAGTAATCCCAGCACTTGGTAGGCAGAGGCAGGAGGATCAAATTTCAAAGTCATCTTGAGCTGTATAATGAGTTCAAGGCCAGCCTGGAATACATGAGACCCCATCTCAAGAAAACCAAAACAAACACTGGAAATTTCGAATGCAGCTCAGTTGGTACAGTGTTTGCCTAGCATACAAGTTCTGCATTCAATTCATAGCACCACATAAATTGGGTATGGGGATCCATGACTGCAGTCCCAGGACTCGGGAGGAGAATTAGGTCAAGGTTATTCTTAACTACATAGGGAGCTTGAGGCTAGCTCAGGCTACAGAAGACCCTGTTTCCAAAAATAGCTAAGGGTTGGGCAGACAGCTCAGCAGTTAAGAGCACTTGCTGCTCTTTCAGAGGATCCTGGTCCAATTCCCAGCACCCACATGGCAGCTTACAACCAACCAACCATAGCTCCAGTTCCAGGGGATCCAAGGACCCATGGATCCTTAGGACCTTCTTCTGTTCTCCGTGGGTACCAGGCACACACACACGGCACACATACATTCATGCAGGCAAAACACTCATACGCACAAAACGAATCAATCTTTTTAATCTAAGAATTGTGTGGTTTTAAAAAGATATATGAAGTGCCAACCTTAGTGCCTGCATGTAGGATGTGAAATGTGTCAGCTAGGAATGCCCCATAAAGTGGCAAAGTCGTCATGATGATTAAAAGCTCCAAGTACCCAGTACCCTCTGGGCCCTCAGTTAGGGGCGAGCTGGTCATAATGAAGCAATAACTATGGAGGCACCAAGGCAAGAAACTTGGCAGAGGAATGTGGAGACACTGAATGCTGGCACAGAAAGGGAAGCCATATATGGGAACTTGTGGGGGGAATGGCAGTCAGGCGCCCTCGCCCTTGAGCCACATCCTGTGGCTCAGGTAGCCCTGCAAGAAGGCCGGGGAAGGGAGGGAAAGAGCCAGGAGCAGGAGCTTTTGGCACACTTGACCTTTGACTCATGGTACACCTCAGGGGCGGGAGGAGGAGGTGGTGGTGGTGGTGGTGGTGGTGTGGCTCCACCTTGGAGCCTCAGGTGCCAGCTGTACAGTAACACATTCTGTTTCAATTCCTCCCAGCTCAGTGTCTAAGCTTGTTTTTGTGGCTGGCGAGGAAAAGCATGGGCGGGGCTCCGCTGCACGGCACCAGCAACCACAAACCCGCCCCCGGACTAGGGTACAGAATGTACCCAGACTACAAACCACACCCTTGTGGCTTGGGGAGGCCCCGAGGCCGACTGGGGAACTGTCACACTACATTGTTTGAGAGCCTGTGCCTAGCAACCGGCTTGGGATTCCTTAGTACTCAAACAATGGGATATCCCAAAGGGTTAGGACTTAGTCAAAGGACAGTCTGCCAAAGGGTCGGCCAGGACCAAAGATGCCTCTGATTGGAGAAGAGGTCCATGGTCCTCTGACACTCTCCTGGAACCACATTGGCTCTGGGACTAGCCTAGGAGAGCTTCCAGCCTAAGCCGTTGTGAGGGGACACCCCAAAGAACAGCCAGGCTTACCAATAACCCCAAAGTAGGGGAACAGAGTCTGCCTCTCTTCACTTGCCCCCATCATCTCCCAGGAGGCATAAGGTCCCTGCTGGGACCTTTGGGGAGGGTAGAAACAGCTTCTCTAATCCCAATGTGACTTGGAAATGAAAGAAGGCTGGGAGGGGCCAAACCCACAAGAGCTAGGAGAAACTTCCAGTAGGACAGGTCAGAGGGAGGTCCTGTGAAACCAGGATGAAATTCAGTGGGGACTAATAATGCAACAGAGTCAGTAGGGACAAAACCCAACAACATAATCTGGTTCAACACAAATAAGGAAAACACCACATAAGGAGAACGCTGGCCGCAACTGACTACGAATCAGCTTCAAAATAGAGCACAGTTCACTGATGTGGAACACACTGTCCACACCAAGTATCAGGCCACGTATTTGACAAGCTTGAGTATACTTGTGCAGAAACAAGCCTGGGGTCTGAAACCTGCCCCAGCCATCATCAGTCGTAGATTTGATGAGCTCGTGCTTGGTGACAGTTTAGTCTTCATGAGAGAGCTGTGTCCGGAATCCGGGGGAAAAGGACAAGGTTAAGATTAGGAAGAAAGATTGGAGGAGGCAGGCAATGTGGCGAGGCAAAAAGAGCCAGGCCTCTGTCACTTAGTGATCAGAAATGATGACTCCTTTCAGCTTTAGGTTCTTCGTCTTTAAAACCAGGATGAGGCTTGGATAGTGCTGGTGCACGTCTTTAATCCCAGCATTCAGGAGGCAGATCTCTATAAGTTCGAGGCCAGCCTGGTCTACAGAGTTAGTTCCAGGACTACACAGAGAAATCCTGTCTCAAAAAACCAAAAAGCAAAACAAAACCATAATGAATATTACTATGATGATGTTGGTTTGGTTTTTTCGAGACAGGGTTTCTCTGTGTAGCCCTGGCTGCCCTGGAACTCACTGTTCAAATCAGGCTAGCCTCGAACTCACAGATCTGCCTACCTCTGCCTCCTGAATGCTGGGATTAAAGGTGTGCACCACCACCTCTGCCCAGCTAAATGTTGGTTTTCTTAAGACAGAGTCTCACTATGTAATTCTGGCTAGTCTGAAACTCACTATGTAGATCAGGCTGGCCTTGAACTCACAAAGATCACCATCCCCAGCCTCCTGAGTGCTGGGATTTCTAAAGGTGTGTGCCATCATGCCTAGACCCATAATGATTATTATTAATATTTACATGATTCCCAAAACATAAAGCACCAAGTGCATAGTAGGTCCTCAACCAATGTATGTCTTTTGTGAGGAGAGAGAAATAAGGTGAGAAGGTTTTAGGAGGCGGTTACTAAGCAGTCCTTTCCCCACATCTCTAGCAACCAGAACAAGGACACAGACTATGGTTGTAGTTACAGTGGGCGCTGGAGGGAACCCAGTGGCCATCGGAACTTGCCAACTGCCACTGAAGAGGCTGAAATAGCCCTCAGGCAGGTTTTGTTCTGCTTGAACAGTGTGTCCCCAAAATCTGAACTAGTTGGCCACCTTTTAAAAAGTGGAAGATTTTGTAACTGCCCTGGCAGAAGAAGAGACATTCTAGAGACGGGGAAGGTTGGGGCCTGGTGGCAGCCAGAGAAGGAAAGAAGAGAGTTCATAGAGAGGCCACAGCTTGTCAGACCACCTCGAAGGAGACACCAGAGCCCAGACAGCTACCGGTCAACAGTGGGCAGGACCACGCCTTGCTGGGGATTGCTTGGAAATCCGTACCTTTTGCCCTCTACTGAAAACCTAAACATCTTGCAAGGACTCTGAAGACAGACTGGTGGAGTTACCAGACAGACCCCTTTATTTGTTCCTCTTCCTGTTGTGGCTACATTAAATACACCTCCTGTCCCTGGTTTTCACTATTACTTGTCTCTTCAGTGTGCATTTCAGGAGAATGATGGCGGCGCCTAGTTTGTTGGGCCTGCCAGGGTTTGAGCTTTCACCCTAAAACTCTGGTAAAAATTCCACCCAGGTGTAGTGGTGCATGCCTGTAATCTGAGCATTTGGAAGGCTGAAATGGGAGGTTTGTCAATTTGAGACCAGCCTCATGTATACCATCGAGACCTTTGATCTATCTATCCATCTATAAGATTGTGCACAAAAATCCATTTATAAAACCTCTCTTGAGAAATCAGAAAATCTAGTAATGCTGGACCTTCATGTCCACTGAACATTGGTTATGGGAAGGGAATAAGGTGGTGCTGATGTTGCCAAAGTGTCGTGCATGTAGATGCAAATATGCCAAGGAGACAAACCCTTTGGAACAGGAAGTATGATAATGAGTGCCTGGCTGAGGAGTAGAGGGAAATGGAGAGCAGCTGCTAATGAGGCTTTTTTCTGAAAAGGATACAAATGGAACATGAAGTAATGGTTGCACAAGCTGTAGATATGCTAATCACTGTGGAAATGTAATTTTCAAAGATAAAATTTAAGGTATGTGAATTATATCTTAATAAAACTAGTGTTTGTTTGTGTTTTAAATGCAGGTGCTGATTCAGCAGATCCAAGCTGGAGCGTGAGCCTTGCCTTTCCCCCATGCTAGGGAATGAAAGAAATCCAGTGCCTCAGGTACACGGGGGTTGCAGGCAAGACCCTGCATTTCTGATGAGCTCTCAGGTGTGGTGCGGGTTGCTGGTATGCAGGGCTGGTTTCTACTTTTGCTGCACATTCAAACCACCTGGGCAGTTTTTTAAAAAAGAATCCTTTTGCCTAACTTCCCTGTCCATCACCCAGCATGTCTGTTTTCTCTCAAAGCACTTGCTTTATGGCAGGAGAGAAGATAGTTGAAAAACAGACACGGTGCCTCTCTCTGGCTACCAGGCTATTGAAACACTGAACCCCAAAGAATTACAGTTTCCCCAGGAAGTCCAGCTAGGGAAGGAGAAGTACTGAAGCCCTGATGGCAGCAGGAGGAGGAAGTCGCCTCCTAGGAAGAGATTGCACACAGTTCTGACAGCTTGTGGGACTACCTTTTGGGAGAAACTGGAGCCTAGACAATAACGGGTCAGTAATAATAGCCTTGCCGCACACCTTGGCTGACTACTTAGCTATGCATCTCTATTGCATTCTGCTTAAACCTAAATCTCATGTCAGAACTCCAAAAGTTTGAGAGGTCGTCTTTATTGATTCCTTTTCCCAGTGTGGCCACAGTGAATAAATCTTCATTGTCTGATTCTCGCTGTTGCTTGTCTTTTTAATTGACATATTGGGGGTGGGAGTGGTGAGTCCAACTTGTCTGCGAGGTGAGGGCCCGGGCTCTGACCTTAAAAACACTCGGTGGCATGCTGGAGGTTCTGCACCCTGATGCCTGAAGAGCTACCGAGATGAGCTCGCTTTGCAGCAAAGTTTGGGAACCATCCACTTTCTGTTACCCCACCCCCACCCCAGCCCCAGCCTGGGCGGCAAGGCATTTGATCCAACAAGGCTCCAAATCTCTCAGCTTGGCTTCCACAACCCTGGCTGCCTCTGCGAGGCTCCCAGCTCAATGCCTCTACCCATCCTTTTTCTAACATTCTTAGTTTAGGCCCTTACTCCCCTGTCCCCCAAGTCCCTTACTAATGGAGCTTGTTTTATTTCCTTGGGCATCTCTGAATGCGGGCCTGTTAAACACATTTGGAAAAATCTTAGGCACTTCAGTCCTCCCTGCAGCCTCTCTTCCCCAATCCAGTCATCCAGAACAATCCAGGAGCCGCAGGCTGGGCGGGCCACCCAGAGCTTGCCAGGCCCGCCCTGTCTGGCGACTGCATGGAAAGCCACATGCCTTCCGCCTCCCGGCTAGCCACTGAACCTCGTGGGGAGCCATGTGCTGCCGGTCACCCGGGAGGGGCAGCCCGACTCGAGAGCGCCGTTTTGGAAGCCACCAAGAACCAACCGCAGTGACTTTTCAGAGGCCCGAGGGAGGGGAAGAAAGTGGGCAGGACAGGGGAGGAGAGCTCGCAGCAAGGATGTCTGGGTAATTTATTATTGCGTGAGAGTGTCTCGGAGAAAGCAGCCCTGACTGAGGTCCAGACGTGGGCAAGTCATTCCAAAGGAAAAGAGGTTATAACCACAAAAAGAAAGAACATTTCGTACTGAGACAGCTGGGCAGGGCCAATGGAAAGGCCCCCAGCCAGCCTTGCTTTGAAAGTGCTTCTGCCATTGCCTAGATGTTTTTGTAAAACAAGGCATTTCTTCTTTTCTCTGTCAACTCTTTGTTTTCTCTGTGAAGACGCCTTGTGTCTTCAGCTATTTGTGTCTTTCCCTTTACTCTTTTGGGCTGTCCCTTTTCCTCGAGCTTCGAAAGCAGTTAATGAGAGTCTACCTAGAAGGTGCAGTAACAGCTGAGGAAGGAAACTCCAGTTCAATGGAGGACTTGGTGGCTGAAGGTGTCCTAAGTGATTTAACACCAGGGATATTTTCACACTTGCTTTTGATAATTCCTCTCAAGTTCAGTGGCAAGTGCCAGAAGCTAGTGGAAAGTTTGGAGAGCAAACAAATGCCTCCACCCAAGACCCTTTCTCTTTTCAAGACTAGCTTTGTCCCTTGCGTTTTCAGGGTTTGCTGCAAACTGGGGCGCATGTGTGCCTGCAGGAAGCTTTGCAGGGTGGCAGTCTATGTGGAGGTCTATGCAGGTGGTGATCTTTAAGTTTCTTGTTCCTTTCACACAAGTGGCCAAAGAGCCTGCCGGAGAGGAACTGTGACCCCAGAGCAGACCAACTTTGAGCAGGGAGGGTCAGAGTTGAACATTCTCAGAAAGTTCTAGTCCTTCAGCAGCTGCCTTCCCACCAGGAAAAAAAAATCGCTGACGGGACAAAGTCAGCACCTCTGCTGCCCCACCCAGCCTTGCCAGCTTGCTCTTGGCCCCTGCCCTTTGCCTTCTGGCTCAGGCTCCTTCTGAGACAATGGCACCAGAGAAAAGGCGAAATGCAGAGGTGTACAGGGCAAGTGGCTCGGAGTTAGGATGAAGGCCCCAGGACAGCCACCATCTGTCTAGCAAGAACTGGGAGCCTCACAGAGGGATTTTTGAGGAAGGTTGTAGCCTGGCAACAGTGGCCAAAAAGGGTTGGTCTGAGTTGGGACCTTGGGAAAAAAGAATTCAATGAAGGATTAAAGGGGAGATAATTTTAATAGCTAACACTTATTAAAGGCTTACTAAGTGTCAGATGCAAGGCCAGATGCTTAACACGAATGATCTCATTTAATTCTCTTAAATATCTTTATTATTATCACCGCGTTATTCTTGGGTAGTGGAAATTCTGGCTCAGAGAGGTTGGGTAGCTTGTCTAAGGTCTACAGCCGGTAAAGGGAGAGTGAGGCCTAGTGAACCGCTTGTGTTCAGAACTACTACTTTACAACATAATCTCAGGCAGCCTCTTCCCTGCAAAGCTTCAGGGACACCAAAAAAGATACAGGTCTTGAGAAAGATCACTGCATGCAACAGATCCTAGAGAAATGCAGAAACAGTTTTGGGAAGGGTTGTGCCTCACCAGTGCCACCTATGAGGAGGAACCTTGCCTGTTCTCTGCCTCCTCCTCTCTTGGCCAAATCCATGTGTAGATCCAGCCCTATGCAGCACAGAGGATCATGGGCTAGTGACGGGTTTTGAGGCTAGTTGGAACGGCTCTGCTAGAGCTCAGTAAATCAATGCACAGAAGACGTCTCTGTCTTCTTGACTTTCATAGCCCCTAAGACGATGAAAGAAGCTCGAGCTAGAAGGGTGTGCTAGGGACTCATGACAGCCAGGCCTGAGACATGGCATCGGTTCACGGACTGTGCTGGAATGCTCTCTATGAAAGGCCAGCACTGTTTTGACACCCGTTGTTTTCTTCTGTGCAAACCTTTCTCTCCAGATTCCCACAGGCGGCCTTCGGAGTGTTCTTTGAGATTGCCTTGTATCTGGCCTAGCCCTTCTAGCCAGGGACAGTGATTCACCCAACCCAGAACATTCACATCTGCTCAGGAGAACACTGTGTGCTCTGGACTGGTGCCGGAGCCCAAGGGAAAAGGGAAGTGTGCAGGACCAACAGGCCAAGAGAAAGTCTGGGAGGGTTCTGCTATGGCAGCTGCACGAACGCTTCCACCTAAGCCTGACCTTCTTCCTTTGGGCGTCAGGAGGCCATGGGGACTGTCCCTGGGTCCCAGCTGTTCTTGGGGGCTGTTTTCCAGCAGGTAGCCCCTCTATTCCTCTGGCTCCTAACATGAAATCCCCTTTAAAGGTAGCCTCAGCTGGTTTGAAATGCATTGCCTCTGCATCCCGCCATCCTGTCTATGTCCATTGCCTCTACCATAATTCCGTCTCCCACCCTCTTCCTCATTCTCACAGCCTCCAGCTTTCCTCCCCAAAACTTTATGTGCCCTCAATACTACCTAAGGCGTCTGTTTGAAAGCTGTCTTTGATCCTGTCAGTTCCACAGTGAAAACCTTTCAGTGACTTCTCATCACTCCAGGACACAGGGTAGACATTGGGGTGCAATGCTCGGAATTTTCACAGTTCATTCAGATCTTGCTTTCTACCACCATGAAGATACCAGATAAAAAAGAAATGTTTCTGTAGTGTAAATGTGTCCCTTGCATTATATGCCATGCTGCCCCTCACCTTGGTGAATGAAGCCTTAGCATTCAATCCCTTTATTGGATGACATCATTGGCATCCAAAGTGGCTCCAGAGCCCCCAAGCTCTCTTTCTTTGAAACAATTTGTATCAGTCACTTTTGTCACTGCTGTGGCCAAATGCATGCCTGACCAGAAGCAAGTTAATGAAGGGAGGTGTTAGCTTGGAACATGGTTTAGGAGAAGATAGGCCATCATGGCAGGGAAGGCTTGGCAGTGGTAACATGAGATGACTAGTCACATTGCATCCTCAGGAGTCAGGAAACAAAGAAAGATGATTGCTTTTTCCTTCTCCCAGGACTCCACACACAAGGCAGGTCTTCCTTCTCAACTAAACCTTCTTGGAGATACTCACAAGCATACCCAGAGTGTGTTTTCATAGTGATTCTAAATCTAGTCAAATTGACAATGAAGATTAACTATCCCGTACACATCATCTTTCCCTCTATCCCGAGGCGCTACTTAAGCCAGTCTTGGATGGTATAATTCCCAGTCTTGAGCAAATTCTCCTGCCTCTCTCCACCCTCCCTCCCAGTTACTCCTGCATGATGCTTTCCATAGCCATCTGAATGACAGTTACTCCCTCTCTTCCTTTCCTGGAATGTTGACGCCTGACATTATTTGATCATGCAATGTTTTGCATTCCAGCCTGTGGGTCTATGTGTCTTCTTGACCAGATTGCAAGTTCAAAGAGATTAAGAGCCATGCTTCCTCCTTTTATTCTCCACTCCTGGCATTACATAACAGAACTTCAGTAAATGTAGCTTGCTCGATAGTTTGTTTCCCCTCTCATAAGACTGTGGACTTCCGTTAGGGAAGTTCCTGGACTGAGGCTTCTGAGTTTGAGGCTAGTTAGGACACCAAAGTGTATGGACACTTACAATGTAGTGTGAAGTGGGTGTGGAGTAGAGCACGTCCAGGAAGCAGGGAAGTGGTGGGCAGAATTGGATGTTGAGGAATTGGATGTCAAGAATATATAGCAGGGCTAATGTCTGTCTGCGGAGAGGAGACAGACATTCTAGTCAGGGGGGCATAGGCATGGAGGCAAGACGGAGCACATGAAGTATGTTAAGGAGTTAGGGAAAGTTCAAGAGCACACTTGAGCGGGAAGGGCCTTGAACAGGGGTTTGGATGGTGAACTAAGCTGTTCAAGGGTTTTAACTGAGCAACTTCTGCCGTAAGAGTGGGAAAGCAAGGGGCTGGAGAGATGGCTCAGTGTTTAAGAGTGCTGGCCGCCTTTCCAGAAGACTTGGGGTTCAATTCCCAGTACCCACATAGAGGCTCACAACTGTCTATAACTCTAGTCCTAGGGGATCTGACACCCTCTTCTGGCCTCTGTGGGCACCAGGCATGCTCAGGATACACAGACATATGCACAGACAAAACATGTACACACACATAAAAATTAATTATTTAATTATTGAATTTTAAAAGGAATAAGAAAGTCAAATCCAAAAGAACACATATTTTAGAATCCCATTTATATGAAATTTCCAGAAAAGGCAACTCCAGGGAGTGAAAACATGGCTTAGTGGTTTCGGGTGGCTCAAGATTGACTTCTAGTAGGAACAAAAAGCTTCTGTG